GTATTCTAAGACATTATTCTAATATCTTTACATGAATGACTCATGTCATTTCCCTAGTAACCTTCTGAGGTAGATGCTACTATTACCCTCTCATAATTCATTTAATCCCCATAACAACCTCATAAAGTCGATCCTATTATTAGGCTCACTTAACAAGTGAAGAAATGAGGTTTTGTAATTTGTCCAAGGTCATACAACCAGTAAGTGGTGGAGCTGAAATTCAAATTTAGACATTCTAATTTCAGAATCCACATTCTTAACCACTCGGTAGGCTGAATAATGGCCCTCAACAATATCCAGATACTAATCCCCCGGAACCTGTGAACATTGCCTTATGTGCCAAAGGGACTTTGCAGACATGACTAAATTAAGGGTCTTGAGATGGGAGATTATCCTGGATTATCTGGTTGGGCCTTAAGTGTAATCACAGGTGTCCTTATAACAGGGAGCAGAGGGAGATTTGGCAGCAGCAAAAGACAGTGTGACAGTGGAGGCAGAGAGACTTGAAGATGCTGCCCTGCTGGCATTGAAGATGGTGAGGAGACCCTGAGTCCAGGAATACAACTCTAGAAGCTACGGAAGGCAAGGGAACCTCCAGAAGGAGGGAGCACAGCCCCACCTACATCTTGGTTTTTGTCCATTGAAACCTTTTTGTTTTTCTGACCACTAGAACTGTAAGATAATAAACTGGTGTTGGTTAAGCCACAGGTGTGTGGTCATTTGTTGTGGCCACAGTAGAAAACTAATACAGCCCTCGTGCAATGGAGAAAGACCCGAGGGATAGTTAAGACTTTTACTATCAGCAAACCTTCCTCAGAATCCATGAAGAAATGAGCTTTCGTAATAATCTCCCTCAGTAGTCCCAGCTTTATGGCATTGTCACTTCATTACCAGGAGCACAACTTCTTAGTCCTTATCTGTTTCTGTATGAGGGTTGCTCAGAGGCCATCTCTAGACTGCATCTACTCCATACTCAAACATGGCAGTCATTCTGGGTACAAAGTTGATTGTTGAGCCAGAAATTTAAGAAATGTTAGTCAGGAGACATCATCTTTACTTCAGGTCTGAGAGTTGGGGGAAGCTGAGGAAATGAGCATTTGAGTGTCTGCTGTATGTCAGGTACCAAACTAGGAGTTTGAGTTTTGTATTTAGTCCTCATGTCTGACCCTCCTTATAAAAAGTAGTTATTAACACCCCATCTTGACAATAAGGAATGAGACTGTATGGGCTCAAGACCAGAGAAGCAGTAAATAAGATTAAAATTCAGACTTGTCTAATGTCAGGGTACATGATACTGTGGTACACAGTACTGCCACTCCAAACCAATCTTTCTGAGGACCTCAGATCTAATCCAGGGCATATCCCAAGTGTTTATTTAGTTCTCGTAAGTCACCGGGAAGAGCATACCATTGCCAGATCACCCCTGACCTGGTGCACGGTCTGCAGGCTGGGCAGGCTCCTGGATTGCCCTGAAGTCAGCATTCTTCCTGCATGACTCTTAAGATGGACTTAGCTCTGTTGTTCAACTTGGTTTTCTCTATTTTTGTATGCTAAAGTTGAGACCAAACCATTAACAAAACCTCCAAAGCTAATTAAAAAGCAGTTCTCCAGAGCAAAGATCTGAATCTATAGTGGAAACTTACACTTTTTGGTGTTCCTGTGTGATATACATAAATATAAAAAATAAAAATGGTAATGTTAAATATAAGATTACTTGATCTAATTGCAAGTATCTAAATGTAACAGGAAACTCTGTTTAGGAAATCTTTGACTTAAATAGATGATTATTTCATGACTGAATTATTTTACTGCTGTAGACCAGAGGTTGGCAAACTTTCTCTGTACAGTCACGTAGTAAATATTCTGGGCTCTGCAGGCTATGAGGTTTCTAGCTGAGTTACCAAACTCTGCCATTGCAGCATGAAAGCAACAAGTTGGCAATACTTAAGCAAATGAATGTGGCTGTGTTCCGATCAAACTTCACGTGTGGACACTGAAAATTGAATCTCGTAATTTTAATATTATTATTATTCCAGCTATTTAAAAGTGTAAAAATTGTTCTTAGCTTGCAAACTGTACAAAAGCAAGTGGCAGGCCAAATTTGACTGTAGGCCATAGTTTGCTGACCATGTATTAATAACCTGTCATACGCTAGCACATTTATTCGTATATTTGCGTTGCCTTTCTGTTTTGTAAAATATATTGCTAGATTCTTAATCTATAAATCCAGATTTTCAAAGTATTATAATTTTAAAAAACCTTGGTAAGACTATATGTGACAGAAAGACTTACGTAGCAGATGATACTTGGTTGCCTACCAAAGAATCATCATTTCCCCTTTCTTTGTTGGCAGAAGTCCTAGTTTGGATTTTGTTCAGGTACCCAGTGGTTGCATACTTCAGGAAGGGTGCTTTCTTCTTCCTCCCAAGTTCAAGAGGTGAATCTTTATTCACTGGGGGTGGCAACTCTAAACAATAAAGTATGTGGAAAAGAATTCAGTTGCCTGCAATTGATGGATCCCAGAATATAAAAATGAATTTTTGACAACTAGAATTAAAATCAAAGTACCTAAACAGATAAATTTGAGCTTTACTTCATGTTGCTCTGGCTAATATGCATTACTATATTAACAAACATGTTTCAAGAAAATAGTTATATATGTATATAACAGAATCTTAAAATATTTATTAAAATTTTCTAAATTTTTAAAATTTTTTTATTTTTTGAGAAAGCAGGATTTATTGAGAGGACAGAAAAACTCCCACAGTGGGAGGGGACCTAAAGGGGTTGCCCTCTAAATTTAAATATAGAAAAATTTGTGCCAGATGTGGTGACTCACACCTGTAATCCAAGTGCTTTGGGAGGCCAAGGTGGAGGATCACTTAAGACCAGGAGTTCGAGGCTGCAGTGAGCTATGATTACACCACTGCACTCCAGCCTGGTGACAAACTGAGACTCTTTCTAAAAAAAATAAAAAGCAAATACAAAAAAATTAAATTTTTGTTAATCCAACATAAAATTATAAATTTCTTTTGGGGGAAGAACTGCTGTTTATATCCTTTTTTCCTTATAAAATTTTTTTAAAATTTACAAAGTAATAAAAATAGTAAAAAATAGGAGCTGCATGCCAGTAACCACAGAAGTGTTTGAAATTTTGCTAATCTATGGAGATCTGAAAGTCTGAATGTTGAGAAATCCTGTTCTGTACTGACTTGACTCCACTCTTACCATCTAACCTGTTGGCATCTTGCAGCCTGGCTTTATCGCTAACCTCTTGACTAAACTGGTTTCTAGAAAATCACCATTGATTTTATGGTCCCCTGCTCCTTTTTCTAAACCAAATTTCTTCTTTGACATTTTTATGATGTTTAATTCTGTTGCCCATTCTGTACCTGAAATTCTCTTCCCTAGGATTTGCTGAGAATATGTTCTACCTCAGTAACCATTTTTCAGTCTCCTTTACCTTGTTCTTTCTACTTCTTGGGGGTAACTCTTGTAAATCATTGACCGTTTGTAATTCCTGTTAATAGCAGGCACGAGAACGAATTAGCTGTAAGTAGTGGATACAACTTGCTAAGCAGAGACAATTTAGTAGAGACTGTCTTTTGACATAAAGGAAGGCTTATAAGTAGGTGTGAACAGTTTCCCTAACTGATAGCAGTCCCTGTTTTGTTTTGTTTTTTAAGTATGCACATGTATTTAGTTCATTGTATTCCTTTGTATGTACCATTATTAAATCACTTCTTGATGGACATCTGTCTCTGGTTGCATGTGGGTGCGCTCCTCCTCTCCCCAACCAGTACTGTATGGGCATCCTTATTCCTCCATCTTGGCACACTTTGTGAATATATCCATTGTTTAAATTCCTCGTGGTAGAAATGTCGAGTTCTAATGTATGTGCATGTAAAAGTTTGGTAGACATTACCAAATAGTCATTCTGAAAGCTTGTACCAATTTGCACTTTTTATCAACAGGGTATGAGTATCCCTTTCACCACACAATTTTCCAACAATGAATATAATAAAACATAGTGTTTGCTAATCTAGTGAGTGAAAATCTTTTTCTTCATATTTTTATTTTAATTATGAGTGAGAATGAGCATCCGTTATATCAGTAGTTCTCAGCTGGGGCAACTTTGCCCCTCAGGGGACGTTTGGCAATGTCTGGAAACAATTTTGGTTGTTGAAAGTGGAGAAGGTCTTGGGAGGGGATACTGCTGTCATCTAGTGAGTAAAAGGCAGAGATGCTGCTAAACATTCTGCCGTGCACACAACAAAGCATTATTTGGCCCCAAATGTCAGTTGTGCCAGAGTTGGAAAACCCTGTTTTGTATTATTCCATTTTACCTCCTTTGTTGGTTTATTATCTGTAATTCTTGAGTTATTTTATTGGTTGATTTCAGGTTTATATTACGCCTCTTTAACTTATCACCATCTACCTTCAAGCAGTATTTTACTATTCCTTGCCTATCTTTCCCCTTCTGGCCTTTGTGCTACTGTAATACTTTCTACTTCTACATATGCTACAAATCCTACAATATGTTATTATATTACTTTAGACAGTTGATTATCTTAAAAAAAATTAAACAGCTGTATTGAAATATAATAAACATTCATCAAATTACACATTTCAAGTGTATAAGTTAATCATTTTTGAAATACGTATCCATCACAACAGTTAAAATAATGAACATATTCATCAATCCCAAAACTTTTCTCCTACTCTTTAGTAGTTCTTCCCTCAACTCCAGGCAGCCACTATCTACTTTCTGTCACTATAGATAAGTTGACATTTTCTAGAAGTTTATATAAATGAAATCATAAACTATGTGCTCTTTTTTAAATCTGATTTTGTTTTCTTCTAGCATAATTATTTTGAGATTTATCCATACTGTGTGTATCATTAGAAGAGCCTTTTTAATGACAGACATTTCAACTAATTAGGTTACTGTTTATAAAGAGCATGCTGAATTCTAGTCACTTGACGTGTTCTTGTTTTAGGTCATGACTGTTCAAGGTATGATAATCACATGAGAGCACTCATTCCTGCAGATGTCCTTGACTCATTAGAGAAAATCTGTCTAAAAGAAAATATCTGTATGACCAAATTCATTTCTCTACCAAATGGCTTGATGGATTTCCTTTACCCTGAATACCAAAGCTGTCCTCAACCAAAGCAAGAAAGGATCCTGCATGAGTCAATTCCAGAATGCCATTTTTGCATCACCAACAGGTGAAGAAAACCTCATGAATAGCAATCACAGAGACTCGGAGAGCATCACTGGTGAGTCCTGTTGAATAAATATTGAAGTGCTATTGCTTACAGGATAAAATGCACATGGAATTTTTGTAATAGAATTTGGATGTATTTTTAGGTCTCTTATTTAAGAGATCTGTCAAGGATTGAGAGCTCCTTTAGAACTACACTTAAGATTTAAAATGAGCTGGGCTCGGTGGCTCAGCCTGTAATCCCGCGCCTTCAGGAGGCTGAGGTGAGTGGATTGCCTAAGCCTGAGGGTTCGAGACCCACCTGGGCAGCGAGACCTCATCTCTACAATAAATAAAAAAAAAAAAAAATCAGCCGAGCGT